TAGTTCAGCTGGCAGCCAGGGGTCAGAGACCCAGAGAAATGAGGAGGGGGTGTGGAGCAGGGGCTGAGGCCTGAGCTGCGAGGAGGGCTCGGTATTGATGATTAGCGAACAGTCCCCTGGGGTGTCAGCTTGAATGGGGCCCATGATATCTGCGGCTGCTGCCCTCAGTATGTCCCACTCAGCTTCCTCCCCAGGTCAGAACATGTTTTAGGGCAGAACCCAGAGTTTTCTTATCACTTTCAGACTCAAGTCCAGCTTACTGGGGCTCATGAAGACTTCCGGCTCATACTGGATGTATGATTCTCTTCTCCATTCCCTCTGATGCTTGTGGACACTCGGAGGTGGGGGACGGCTCTGTTCTTTTACTTTTCTGGTTCTAGTTTCTCAGAGAATGAGGCAAGCAGAGACACGGAAAGGGAGAGAGATACCTTCCGTTTCAAGGAGTAGGAAGTTTGGATGTCTGAAAAAGATTTGTGGCAGAGATCTGGATGGAAAACAAACACACGGGTGGAGAATGTCCTTTTTATTTTTATTTTATTTTATTTATTTATTTTTTTGAGATGGAGTCTTGTTGTGTCACCCAGGCTGGAGTACAATGGTGCAATCTATGCTCACTGCTACCTCCGCCTCCTGGTTTCAAGTGATTCTCCTGCCTCAGCCACTGGAGCAGCTGGGACTGCAGGCACCCACCACCATGCCTGGCTAATTTTTGTATTTTTAGTAGAGGCAAGGTTTTCACCATGTTGACCAGACGGGTCTCGAACCCCTGATCTCAAGTGATCCTCCTGCCTTGGCCTCCCAAAGTTCTGGGATTACAGGTATGAGCCACTGTGCCTGGCCAAGAGAGTGTCTTAAAGCTAAACACACATCTAACCTATGACAAAGAAATTTCAGTTCTAGGTATTTATGCACAAGAAATGAAAATGTATATATCTGCATAAAAAGACTTGTATAAGATTTTTCATAATAGTTTTATTCACCATAACTAAAAATATAAGCCACCTAAACATGTATTATGCGAAGCAGTACCCACGGAATGTATAGCTCGGAATACTACTCAGCAATAAGAGAAGTATGAAAAGGAGATAGAAGCAGTTCACAGGCACACACACGAAAAACACAAAAGAGAGGCAAAAAGAGGTGGTGGTGGAATGAGGAATTCTGATACATGTTTAACCGGAGTTCGAGAAGAAGATAACACGGTGAAGGGGACATGTAATGTGGCAGGCCCCAATCCTCAGATCAGGAGCCACAACAATTCTCAGAGAGAATAAACGAACAGAAATCCCCATTTAGATCCATCAGGGTGAAACTGCAGAACACCAAAGACAACATGAAGATTTTAAAAGCAGCAAGTACACGACAGATTACCCTCAGAACACCAACAACAAATTGACAGTTGACTTCTCAACAGCAACAATGGAAGCTGGATATACAAAGGAAATTGACTACAATCTAGAACCCAAAAGATTCTTGAAGGATGAGGGCAAAGTAAAGCCATTTTCGGATACACAAAAGCTGAGAGCAGTTATTGCAAAGAGACTCTCACTAAAGGGGCTCCACACCAATGTACTTCAGGAAGAAGGAAAGAGGTTTCAGACAGAGGGTCTGTGTGCAGAGGGAATGGCTGTCTCAGAGGCAATTCAAACTCAGTATGTCCGGAACGAACTCACAATCTGCTCTCTCAGCCCAGCGCCTCCTGGGGCTGTGGCCTTGGGGGATGATGACCACAATCACTCGGGCCAGAAACATAGACATTATCTTGACACCCCTTCTCCCTCACCTCCCCCATATGCAATCACCCCCGGTCCTGTCATCTTTGCCTCCTGATCTCTTTCAACTCTGCCCTTTTCTCTCCATCTCCATGGCCACCCAGCCGCCACTGCGTTTTGCTCACCACCTGCAATTGGCCTTCCAGCCCCTGAACCCCTCTGATCTGCTCAGCCCGCTCTCCACACTGAACCTGAGGCTCTCTCTTTGCATAGCAATCTGATAAAGTCTCCCGACTGTTTAAAACGTGAAATGGTATCCCACTACCCTGGGGAGAAAAACAAAACAAAAACGTTTAGGAGGTTAGAGAGGTCTTCATGGCTCAGTCCCTGCCCACCTCTCAGACTCACCTCCCACCCCAGCCTCTCTGGACTCTTTTGGCCCCTCGTGGGTGCCATCTTTTTTGCCCACATAGGCTCTTGTCCATGCTGTTTTTGCTATAGAGTGGGTCCTTCCCTTCTTTCTTTGTCTAATTCATGACACTCATCGTTTAATTCATTTGGCACTTCCTCCAGGAAGCCTTCCTTGACCTCCCTGACTACATCAGCTCTCCCCCATTAAATGCCTGCCTTGTGCCATGGTCCCCTCATCTGTGACACTGATCACATGAGCAATTTCACATTTATTCATGTAGTTAGTTATGGTCTGGATCCTCCTTTGCATTTTGAGTTCCTATAGGTAAAGGCCTTTCTCTCCTTTGCCCACTGAGATATCTCCAGGACTACCATGGACACCCAGTAAACATTCATCAGTTGTTGAATTTATGAGTGAGTGGTACCTGCCACCCTAGAATTTCCCTTATTTGAAATTTTAGAATATGCAGATTCACTTCTTTTTCACATCCATGTGAATTTTTGTTCTTGTATAAACAAATTGTAAGTAAGAGCCGTAAGAAATAATTGGAGAAAGAAGGAATTGGGAAGACAAAAGAGAGGAAAACAATAGAGGCAGAGCGGGGGCTTGTTGCAGTGATGCTTGGGGAGAGGAAGGAAGCCGAAGGGAGAGCAAGTGGGTAGATGGCAGGTGATTGGCCCCAGGTTATCCAGAGCAGAGCTGAGACCACCCAGTCCTAAGGGGAAGGGGCTGGGAAGGAAGCCTCTCAGCTCTGCCAATCAGATTAAATACAGATCAACAAGAGCCTTTCCCATTTGGAAAATGTACATTGCTCTGTGTCGCTGGGACTGCAGTGAGACCCAGGAGGCAGGAATAAACAATTCTGAGTCATAAAATCATTAAGGCATCAAACATTTGGATAGATGAGCAGACACAAAAGAATATGCTTCCTATACACATGTTAAAAGCCTAACTCTTTTGACAAGGATCTCACCAAATCTCTTGGGCAGAAGGATTCTGTAATGGAAAGTAATTGCAAGCCACTCATCTTTGTTAATTTAAGATGAGTAAAGGGTTATTGATTCACTCTTTGTTTCATGAGCTGTTTTCATATTGAGTTTTAGTGAATAAAAATATTTTTAATAAGGATTTCATGGGCTCACTTGGCATCTTTCTCTCCCAAGCTGCAGAGCTGTAGATCCCACTGCCAGCTGGACAAACCCAACTCATCTCCAGCCACGGCCCCTCCTGATGTGAGCCTATCTCAGGTTCTGGCACCACAATCCACCCAGTGCCAAGACACTCATGTATCACCCTGGATGCCCTCTGCAGTCCTTCACCCATCCAACAGATGCCCTATCCCTGTGCCTGGTAACTCCCTCCTGTCTCTCCAGTCCAAGGCCTCCCCGCCATGTGCTGGATGCTGCCAGTTCAGACCTGTCCTCTCTCCTCCCTGCCTGGTGGCCAAACTGACCTCCCCAGTCAGTCCCTGCTGCAGAAAGTAGTTTTTCTTTTCTCTTTCCTTCCTTCCTTCCTTCCTTCCTTCCTTCCTTCCTTCCTTCCTTCCTTCCCTCCTTCCCTCTCTCCCTCCCTCCCTCCCTCCCTCCCTCCCTCCCTCCCTCCCTCCTTCCTTCCTTCCTTCCTTCCTTCCTTCCTTCCTTCCTTCCTTCCTTCCTTCCTTCTCTCTTTCTTTCTTAGATGGAGTCTTACTCCATCGCTCAGGGGCTGGAGTGCAATGGTGCGATCTTGGCTCACTGCAACCTCTGCCTCCTGGGTTCAGGTGATTCTTTTGCCTCAGCCCCCTGAATAGCTGGGATTACGGGCATGCACCACCACATGCGGCAAATTTTTGTATTTTTAGTAGAGGCGGGGTTTTACCATGTTGGCCAGGCTGGTCTTGAACTCCTGACCTCAACTTATCCACTGACCTTGGCCTCCCAAAGTGCTGGGGATACCCATGTGAACCACCGTGTCCAGCCTGGAAAGTAGTTTCTATAGTACAAAGCGGGGGGTGCTGCTCCCCTGCCCCACACACCTCAGAACCTCCGTGTTGCTTCCTGTGGAGTAGACACTATTGTTTTGTCTGTCCAGTCTCCTCTTTTCTTGTGAGAATACGCTTCTGGAATATTCGTCTGGAAAACACTCTCCTTTTGATAATTGTCTTTGCCTCCCTGGGACTGCAGCTGACGTGCGTGCATGCGTGCATGTGTGCGTGTGCGTGTGTGTGTGCGTGTGTGCGTGTGTGTGTGCGTGTGCGTGTGCATGGGTGTGCACGCGCACACGTGTGTGTTGGGATTGGCTTCCAGATCTTCCTACTGGGGGAATGCCCATTATCCATTAGATGCTGCTCAATGGGAAGCGGTGCCCCACCCCACCATGGAGACCTAAGGGGCTTAACAGACCCTGCATAGCCATAGATGGATATAATCTGTGCTTGGTGAATGGGTGCTTTGACTGCTCTCAGGGTAGCTGAGAGCTTATTCCCAGAATGGTGAAGGTGGCAGAGTCCTGGTAGCTGGTGTTATTGGGTACCATCACCCATTTTATCCAGGGGCACGGCTGAAATCTGTGCCGCTCGGCTCTGCTGGGGAGGTGGGATAAAGCTGCCCCAGGCTCCGTGCTGTCCCCATCTCTGCTCCTGCTGCCTGGCAGCCTGGAATCCTTCTCCAGACTTCCTGTAACTCTCTCCCCAAGCCAATGCCCTCCCTCGCGTGAACAAGGGCCCCTCCTTGCGACCCATGGTGCCTGGCTTGCCTTGGCCCCAGCCCTCCTCCCTGTGCCGAAATCATCTTTCTGTGGATCTTTCTCCCTCTTGGGCTCCAACCTCCCTGTGGGCAGGGACCAGCCCTTGGCCACGTTCCAGCTCCCTAGTGCCGGTGTATGTTTGGTGAATTTGGGGGCATGGGTTGGATGATCTCAGTTCAGTTCCCAAATCTTTCTTTCCCATCCCATCAGTCTTCCAGGATCTCAGCCAGTTCTCTCACTGCAGAGACTGGAGAAGCCCAGCCCGCAGTGTGAAGGGAGAGCCACTGTGGTGCTCATGGCAAGACACCCAGAGTCCCTTCCAGGCAGGGACACCCCTGGAGCGACCCTGTTTCAGCATGAAGTTATTTGGGTGAGAACTCACCAAGCATGCACAGCGGGTGCTTCAGCATATCCCTTCATTGAACTCCACACGGCCCTGCTGAGCAGGTGGGCCCACCATTCTCAGACCCCCAGGGCCCTACAGACAGCAGATCTGCCGCTTTCAACCATACCCACTGCCTCTCATGCTGGAGTAGGGGAAATGGAACCCACAAAGCCTGCAGGCCAGGGAGGGTGGGAAACTGGGGTGATGTGAGCACACGGCGTGTGCACACGGGGTGGAGCACACGGGGTGGAGCACACGGGGTGGAGCACTGTGGACTGAATGCCTGTGTCCCCTGGGTTCATATGTTGAACTCCTAACTCCCAATGTGATGGTGTCAGGAGGTGGAGCCTTTGGGAGGTGGTTAGGCCATGAGGGTGGAGACCCATGCTGGGGTCAGTGCCCTTACGCCTCTCCCATGTGAGGACGCAGAGGGCAGCTGTCTACAAGCCAGGAAGAGAGGCCTCACCAGACACCAAACCTGCCGGCACCTTGCTGTGAGACGTCCAGCCCCCAGAGCTGTGAGAAATAAATTTCTGTTGTTTAAGGCACTCAATGTTTTGTTATAGTAGCCCGAGCTGACTGAGCAGATATTCATATGGAAAGTGAATTTTGATCTCTACTTCATGCCATTCGTAAAAGCCAATTCCAGATTGACTGTAGATACAGATTGGCAAAGCAAAACAGTACAGTTTCTAGAAAGAAACAGGAAAATGTCTTCATGAGGTGGTCAAATATTTCCTAGAGAGGACACAATAAGCACCAACTACAAAATAAACAATGATAAATTGGACTGCATTAAAATGAAGAACATCTGTTCAACAGAGGACCCCATGAAGAGCGTGAGAAGCCAAAGCACAGAGTGGGAAGAGAAATCTGAGCTGAGATGGGAAATCAGAACATGAAGAACTCCTTCAAGTCAGCAAGAAGACAGGCAAGCCGAGAGGAAGACGGACAGACGACCTCCACAGACACTTCACAAAAGAGATATCCAGGCAGGTGTGGTGGCTCACGCCTGTAATCCCAGCACTTTGGGAGGCCGAGGCTGGTGGATCACCTGAGATCAGGAGTCCAAGATCAGCCTGGCCAACATGTCAAAATGCCATCTCTACTAAAAATACAAAAATTTTCTGGGCTTGGTGGCGTGTGCTTGTAATCCCAGCTACATGGGAAGCTGAGGTGGGAGAATTGCTTGAACCCGGGAGGCAGAGGTTGCAGTGAGCTGAGATCATGACACTGCATTCTAGCCTGGGGGACAGAGTGAGACTCTGTATAAAAAAAAAGAAAAAGAAAAAAAGATATCCAAATGGCCAATACACATAAGAGAATATTTTATTAATCATTGGGGAAATACAAATTAAATTAAAGCCAAAGGGAGCTAACACTCCATACCCCTAGGAATGGCTCAGGAAGGATTTGAAACAACTGCAACTTTCATACGCTGCTGGTGGGAGGTGGGAGGCAGGCCTCCACTCCAGACGAGGGGCTCAGATGCCACACCAAATTGAGGACTAACTAGAACAGAGATGGCTGGAAGCAGCTTTCCATAAGACATACCCACCAGTGTGCCACATCAGTTTACCATTGCCATGGCGACACCCAGACGTTAATGCCCCTTTCCACAGCAATGACCTGATGACCCAGAAGCTACCACCCTTTTCCTAGAAATTTCTGAATAATCCACCTCTTAATTTGCATGTAATTAAAAGCGGCAGTAAATCTGACTGCACACTGCCTCTGAGCTGCTGCTGCTGTGCACGGCTGCTTCAGTAAAAACCGCTAACTCCATTGGCTCACCCTTACATTCTTTCATGGGTGAAGCGACGAACCCTCCCGGGCTAAGCCCCAATTTTGGGGCTGGCCTGCCCTGCATCAGTGGGAGTTTCTGGCAGTATGAGCTAAGCTGGATACAAGCATCCTCTCTGATGTGATTTCTAGGCAGCATATAATCAATTAAAATGCATCCATAAGTTACCAAAAGACATGTACAAGAATGTTCCTAGCAGCCTATTCATAACAGCCAGAACTGGGAGTACTCTGGATGTTACCAGCAGGAGAATGGGTAAGTTGACTGTGGTATATTCATGTAATGGAATACTCCACAATGAGAACAAATGAACCACACCTGCATGCAAGAATGTGGATGACTTGATTTGAGTTCAAAAATAGGCACCATTAGTTGGTCATATTAGAAATCAGGCTGTGCTGGCCAGGTGTGGTGGCTCACAACTGTAATCCCAGCACTTTGGGAGGTTGAGGCAGGTGGATCACTTGAGTCTAAGAGTCTGAGATCAGTCTGGGCAACGTGGGGAAACCCTGTGTCTACAAAAATACAAAAATTAGCTGGGCGTAGTGGCACACACCTGTAGTCCCAGGGAGGGAGGCTGAGGTAGGAGGATTGCTTGAGCATGGGAGGTGGAGGTTGCAGTGAGAGAAGATTGTGCCACTGCACTCCAGCCTGGGTGACAGAGTGAGAACCTGTCAGAAAAGAAAGAGAAGAAAGAAAGAAAAGAAGAAAGGAAGGAAGGAAGGAAGGAAGAAAGAGAGAGAGAAAAAGAAAGAAAGAAAGAAGAGAAAGGAAAGAGAGGGAAGGGAGGAAGGAAGAAAAGAAGGAGGGAGGGAGGGAGGGAGAGAGGGAAGGAAGGGGGAGGAAAGAGAGGGGAGGGGAGGGGAGGGAGAGAGGAAAGGGAAAAGATAAGAAAGGAAAAGAAAAGACATAAGGCTGTGTTGGCCGGGCGCTGTGGCTCACATCTGTAATCCCAGCACTTTGGGAGGCTGAGGTGGGCGGATTGCTTGAGCCCAGAAGTTTGAGATCAGCTTGGGCAACATAGTGGAGCCTCGTCTCTACAAAAAATAAAAAATTAGCCAGGTGTGGTGGCAGGTGCCTGTAGTCCCAGCTTACTCGAGAGGCTGAGGTGGAAGGATCACTTGAACCTGAAAGGCGGAGGTTGCAGGGAGCTGAGATCGTGGCACTGCAGTCCAGCCTGGGGGACAGAGTGAGACCCTGTCTCAAAAAAAAAAAAAAAAAAAGAAAGAAAAAGAAAAAGAAAAAGAGAAGGCTGTGTTTACCCTTGGAAGGTCACAAGGGAGGGAAGCTTCTAGGGGTTCCAGCAATGTTTTATTTTTTGATCCAAGTACTGGTTCTCAAGCATGCTCACTGTGAAAATTTACTGGGTGGAACTAAATTTGTATTTTTCAAACAAAGATGTTACACCTTGCAGTTTGTACTCTGCTAAATGCTTTTAAATTTTACACACAAATAAAACTCCAAGGGATCACATGAGTGACAGAATTGAAACACTCACACCGTTTTTTGGGTTTGGAAACCACCCCCGCTCCATCCCACACTGGGGCTTGTGGATCCAGTTCTGTGCCCGGCCCCCCTCTTGCACACATCCTGAAAGCAGGTGGGCAGGGAACCAGTCCCCATGCCATGGGTGCCCTGGGCCCTGTGTGGTGAGAGGAGGCCCAGAGCAGGGCCTTCTAAAATCCGAGGCCTCGACAGCAGGGTCCCTGCCTGCCTAGGTCTAGGGGCAGGACTGAAGGTCATCGAGGATGGGTGGCCTGGGATTGCTGGCACCAATTCCTGTTACCTCGAGCGGGGGCCTGCAAAAGAAGGGATTAGGATGAGGGGGCAATGTCTCCCTTAAGGAATTCTGACTGTGACTCGGTCGTTGTAGGGAGGGGGCTGTGCATTTCAATGCAGGCAAGTCAGGCCCTGGGCATATCCCGGCTCCTGTCTTGGAAGCCGGTGAACACCCTTAGCCAGTGTGGCCGAAGACAGCATTCCGGGCCAGTGCGGGCCTCCTGCACGGGTATAGCACAGCCCTTTGCCTCTCACTATATGGGCTGTGCCAGGACATAGTACCTTGACCTTCAAGTTCTTTTTTTTTTTAAATTGAGACAGAGTTTTTCTCTGTCACTCAGGCTGGAGTGCAGTGGCATGATCTCAGCTCACTGAAACCTCCACCTCCTGGGCTCAAGGGATCCTCCTGCCTCAGTCTACTGAGTAGCTGGGATTACAGGCACCTGCCGCCACGTCTGGCTAGTTGTAAAAAATACTTTGTAGAGACAGAGTTGCCCAGGCTGGTCTCAAACTCCTGGGCTCAGGCAGTCCTCTCACCTCTGCCTCCCAAAGTGCTGGGATTACAGTTGTGAGCCGCCACACAGCCCCCCAGGTTCTTATCACTCACCACAGAATGTTCTCAGCTTGTTTTTCTGTGCGGCCAACCTGGAGGCCCAGGGCTGGGTTCCCACGCGGCCTCCTTGCCACAGGGTCCAGGAAGGCTGTTTCCAAAGCCTCTGAGTGGGAAGACACACTTCCGGTGGGAGTCAGGTGGAAAGAGAAGCCGTCACTGCTGGGCAGCAGGCTGGAGTCCGTGCGCTCGGATGGTTGTCCCGCAGAGAGGGCTTCACAAGCGCGAGAAAGAACAGTTCCTCTGGGGACGGAGGAGGAGCGAACAGGACAGAGACACAGACAGGCAGGACTTTTCCGAACAGTCGTTTGAACCAGAGAACAATTTTTCAATGGACAATAAATGTTGCATATAATTGACATCTTGGTTACATTCCCTGAAAATTGCTTTCTGTGCAACCTGAGATAAGAGACTCTCCTGGAGCTGCGGTTTCCTCATCTGTTACACAGGGGTGATAAGGCCTTGCTGTCTCTATCCGGGATGACTGGGAAATTCCTCTGGGAAACAGCTACAAATGCAAAGGTGAAGTATTTGATGATATGTATATGAGCACTTCCCAGTGGGTTTTGTGGTCTGTGGGCATCTCCATAGATTGATAGGTCTTTTTTTTTGTGTTTTTTTTTTTTTTTTTTTGAGACGGAGTCTTGCTCTGTCGCCCGGGCTGGAGTGCAGTGGCCGGATCTCAGCTCACTGCAAGCTCCGCCTCCCGGGTTTGCGCCATTCTCCTGCCTCAGCCTCCCGAGTAGCTGGGACTACAGGCGCCCGCCACCTCGCCCGGCTAGTTTTTTGTATTTTTTTAGTAGAGACGGGGTTTCACGGTGTTAGCCAGGATGGTCTCGATCTCCTGACCTCGTGATCTGCCCGTCTCGGCCTCCCAAAGTGCTGGGATTACAGGCTTGAGCCACCGCGCCCGGCCAATAGGTCTTAATACTTTAAAAAGATTCCTTGGTTAATTAATTTGATGAACCACTGGGTTAAACACAGTTAGCAGATTTCCTTATTGCAGAACTTCTCAAGGCCTTTAGTATGTTAATATGCATTGGAAATCGCCAGGAGAGGAGTATTATATGTGGCATATCTCAGACATATTTACCTAGAGAAGGGGTTGTAGTGTGTGTGTGTGTGTGTGTGTGTGTGTGTGTGAGAGAGAGAGAGAGAGAGAGAGAGACAGAGAAAGAGAGAAAGAGAAGAAGGAAGGAAGGAAAGAAGGAAGGAAGGAAAAGGAAAGGGAAGGAAGGAAGGAAGGAAGGAATTTCATGGGGTTAGTTCAGGGAAATTCAGTGGTGAATTTCAACAGCAAGTGAAGAATGCTGTTCTACATAGATGCAGGTATTTTTTCCACCATGCCGGTTTCACAGTGCAAACTGAATCTAACAGGTTGGATTAATTTGGGGATATGCATTGCTCCACTCAGACAGTCACTGCATAGATTGCCAGGGCGATGGAAACTAATTCAGAAAAGCGGGGGAAGTCTGTGCTTTGCAAAGCCCCCAGATACATGGCTGCTTTGAGGATTTTCTTTTGCTCAAAGGATTTAGGGTGGGGGTGGGGAGTGGGGAGGACGGGAAGTGCTTCTTTTGCTTAGAATAAAATTGCAACCTGGAGGCCAAATGACAGAGGCTTCTCAGGGTATGGCTGGAGAAGTGCAAATGAGAAACTTTTGTTTTGGTGAGTGTTTTGGCTTTGTTTTTGATAAGTTTTGATCAATCAGTTTGCTTTTTTCTAAAATACAAGTTTTAAAATGCTCTCATAAAACACATTAAATTATTGAAATTACTGCAAGAGAATGTGTTATTGCGCGTAGAAAGCACTCTAGGTCTTAACTCCTCATTCCCA